CATTTAGCATGGCAAAGCACATAAATATGCTATTTGTGAAATGTTAATGTTTTCTTCTATAAAAAGCTAACCCAAAAAGTAGCCACTGGCATCATTGATAGTTTAAAATTTCATCAGTAGCCAGGCATGGCAGCTCATGCCTTTAATTTCAGCACCCAGGAGGCAAAGGCAGGTGGATTTCTGTGAGTTCAGGGTCGGCCTAGTCTACATAGTGAGTTCCAGGCCAGCACCACTACAGGGAGACCCTGTCTCAAAAAGCCAAAAAAAAAAAAAAAAAATCATTAGTAACAACTTTTAAGATATATAGTTTTACATTCTGAAAAATGAGATCATCACATTAAGCAAATTAAGCTAGACATATGTTTTTTATAGTTCCTAGATTTTATATAGATACATAAAATTATTTTTTAAGGTAGAAGATAATGCTTCTGAAAAAATGTATTTTAATTAAAAAAATGGATCCCCAGCACTTAAAAAAAGATCACCTTCTGTAAGTTTGCATTTGTTTGTTTGAGGTACATTTTTCTTATAACTATTTAAAAGGAAATATAAAATGGCTTATTATAATACCTTCTTTTAAAAGTGAGGATGACTTCCCCATTACCTCTCCTCCCAAATATGCCTGCCATTCTGCTTTCTCTGTGAGTTGAACTGCTTTTAGGTACCTCATGCAAGTGGAGTCATAGTCTTTGTCTTTCTGTACCTGGCTGAACACTACTTTATTGTGTATTTTATTTTGTGTATTTAGAGACTTTAGAATGACTATCTACATGTAGAGTACAGTGATAGGATGTTCTTGGTGCCAGTAGCCATTCATTTTTACCTTCATTACGTAAGGCCTGTCAATGTTAGACACTTCATAGAGTTGTAAGAATAATTTATCACATTATATAAAGGAATAAAAATAGCAATCTTATTTACTTGTTTGTAGTAATGTGTATTTGCTATAGATCAGAGAGTATTAGAAGTAGAAAGGACATCTGGTCCATTCATCACTGTTCTTGTCCATGGAGTAAAAACAAAAAGTAACTCAGATGGTACAACTAGGTTTTCTGAGTTCTACATTCTTTCTCTTATTTGTTTACTGATTAATGTGATAATTCTTATGATATATCTAGTAGTTATACCCTTAAATGTGTTTTTATTTGTAAAATAAAAGTGTCTACTTAAAATGATAATGAAAGTTATCTGTATGCTTTAATTTTTACATTAACATTTATTGAGACTGCTGTGTACCCCACTGTTTCATAAAAGTAAAATATGCCTCAAGGGATTTTGGCATGCTAAACCATGGGAATGAGGTTTAATTCTATAACAGTCTTCTTAGGCTGGAGCTCAGTGTATAATAAAGCCTAGAACTGATATTTTCATTCTGTATAGCATTTTCTTAATTTGTCAGTTGTGTAAATATGTGATTCGTCATCTCTGCTAGAATTAATGATACCATTGACTTAACTTTCAGGATCCATATTGAGTAGAATTCCGTTGATTGTATTTATGAAAATATAGAAAACTTCATAGTAGTTGTTTCAATACAGTTGTACCCTGTATAATTTAGGATAATACAATACCTTACTCATCTTTATGTATAAATTACATACCACAAAAGTGTATGTAAAATATTTTTAAGGAATAGCAAAGATAAATGTTTTCCTTTCTAAATCTAGTGGAAAATTTTGTGACTATCTTCCCTTTGGAAATTAAAAGGCTTGAAGTTACTAATTAATGATCATCATTTACCTAATTTAATAATACTCTGGCTGGTTGCTGCTGTTAAAGGTTTGTAATGAAGGAATCCAGCATAAAATCTTTTAAATACTTTCATGAAGTTCTTTGGAATGGTGACTTTAAGAGGCTCTGTGTTTCCAAATGCAGTTTTAGCAGCTACAGTCAGTATGCATCTGCCAGAAAGGCGCTTATAATATATTTAGGATGTGTTTTACTTAGATGTCTTGTGCGTACTTGTAAAGGTAATACAATTCAAGAGGAAGGTGATGAAATTTATCTGTCAACAGAGAGAGGTATTCATGAACAATCACTTCAGGCTTGTGGATATCAAGAAGGACTTTCATTTTGTTTTGTTTTGTTTTTCATTTATTCTTTCATTTAATCCCAATCTTACAATTTGAATGGCAAAAATCACAGAGTATTTAGGAGAAAATAAATATATTCCTTTTATTGGAACAAGTTTTCATGAAGGAAGCAGATGAAAGGAAAATTGGCTAAGTAGGCATGACTCTTAAGAGGAGGGCATTGGGACTGGAGAGATGGCTCAGCGGTTAAGAGCACTGACTGCTCTTGCAGAAGACCTGAGTTCAATTCCCACCACCCACATGGCAGCTGACAACCGTCCAGAACTCTAGTTTCAAATGAATTTGATGCTCTCATCTGATCTCTGCAGGCATTGTGCAACATGGATGCACTTGCATACATGCAGGCATAACACTCATACACATAAAAATAATAATAAATAAAATTTTTTTTAAAAAAAGAGGACATTATTCTTAGCCAGATAAGCAAGACTTTATGTTTTCAGTGGAGATTTTTGAGCAGAAGTGTGGTATATGAATAGTTTGCAAAGGTAAGTTTATTACAAGTGTAGACTATATTTTGATGAAGAGAAAGAATGGAGTTAGACCAGTTAGCAATCAATTACATAATTCTTAGTAAGAACTGCAATTTGAGTGTCAAGTGCTATTGTAAACTCTTTTAAGTGTTAAACCCTGAGCCAGTTATTAAGCACAGTTATTTCATTTTACATATAAGGAAACTGGGCCATACACTATCACATAGCTACTAATAATGCCTCTGTCTTCTAGCTTGCTCCTGTGTGGGTAATTTAAATTTAAGTTAATAGTTCTGGTTCTGAATGGTAGACATGGGGGGCTTAAGTAGCATTCAGTTGATTGTATTTATAGATTAAGTGGGAAGGATCAGGAAATCTTTAAATTTTACTTTTTTGAGAAAGTTATCCTAAGGCTATAATAGGAAAACAAAATGGTTTTTTAAAAGTTAAAAAAAATCGATTACCATCTTTATGAGAGGAAGAAAAGGATTGACCAAAATATTGTTTATTTTTGAGTCTTGGGCTGTTTTGTGAATCGTGTTTTTATTTTTATTTTATGAGTATTAAGTGTTTTGCCTATGTGTGTAAGTGTACCACATGCATGCAATGCCCACAGAAGCCAGAAGAGGGTCTGGAACCTGGGTCCTCTGCAAGAGCAGTCATCTCTCTACCCCACTAGTGAAGCATTTTTTTTAAAGACTATTGGTATTTTCTAGATTTTCTTCAGTGCATCTGTATTTGAAGGGACATTTGTTTTGAGACAGTTTCACTTTATAGCCCAGACTGGCCTCAAACCTAGGATTTATCCTCCGCCTCAGCTCACCCTCACCCCCATGCTGTCATTATAGGAGTCCTACCACCAGCTTATATCATTTTTGTCATGATAATTTACTTCTAGAAGGAAAATGCTGGTTTGGGAAAAGGATTATTTTAGGGTTTACTCATTCCTCAAATATGACGAGCCCAGTATGCCAAACCCGGTGCAACAGGGAGGCAAACAAAGCAACGTCAGCAAATTCAGGGCAGTGTGATAAAGAAAGTAGATGCAAGAATTAGCCCATGATTTGAAAGAAGAGTCATTTTAGTACTATTTGTTTGAGTCTTAGAAGGCATAGCATTAGGCTTGAAAGCTTTGAGCTAAGTGTTGACCAACTATTCGGTAGTGGACACTTTTGAATGGGAAGTAATAGTAGAATATCCAGCTTCTCTTACAATCAGGAGGGAGAATTCCTTTCAGGACCTGTCTGAGTAGTAATGATCCTTGAAGCCTTCAGATAAGAGACCTCTAAAATAAAATATCCTGAAAAGCACTTTTCAAGGTATAAAACAAAATATGCACTAAAAAGACTCAGGAAGGTCAGAGGGTTCAGATGTGACAATGTGGAAGTCCATAAAAACAGAGATATAAGTGGATCAGTGGACACCACTGCTGCAGAAGACAGCCTTGTGCTGCTTCTGATCTTTGTGTTTTATGTCTTACCTTTTCACTGAGTAAATCAGTATGACTTTGTTATAGTTTTTTTTTTCTTTAGTACATCTGAGTTTCCCCTCCATTGTAAGGAAACAAATCATTTTAAAAAGGGTTCAAGAAGGATGATTTACAAGAAAATGGAATTATGCATGTAAAATAAATGAAAGATGTCCATTCACAGTTTAGCAGTAAACTTACTAAAGTGCAACAAAGAGGTATAGTCTGTCTTTGTTTTATGTTTGTTTTCTGTCGCCTAGATTCAAGACTGATGATAAGTAAATTAAGGAGAGGAATGAAATTAAAAGAGAGTCAGTGATCTCAGGACCATTGTAGAGTTAATGTTAATGAAAACATTGGAATACAGATTGCAAGTTACTCTTTAACCTTGGAAAATAGGATACCTTTTTCTCCTGAGGCAAAAAGACTAGGCTTGTATAGATGTTTTGAAGTTGAAAGAACAAGGAACCCAGGACCTGATTAGACTCAGAGAAATATATGAGTCATTGCTTTAAGAGCAGGAATTAGGATATCCCCTTGTAGGCTTGAGAAGAATAAAAGCAAAAATCTTAAACTTCTGCAAAGGCTGATGCTAAGTGCAGCAAGGAAAGGAGGAAAAGCGATTATGAAGGAGCAGGAGGTGGAGATAGCTGGAGGCTGACGGCCTGGCCTTGGAGCCTTCAGTGAGGAGTGCATCAGTGACTCACTTCTCATTGACAGTAACCTAGACTGTAAGAATTGAATGAAAAAGTGCTGTTGTTATATAAACTCCAAGAAACTCAGAACAGGGAGAAGAGATGTATTTCATTTTAAATCTTGATAACACTAAAAACAAAAATAGAAATTTATCTTAATGTATATAATAACATCACAAACAAGAATAAGGACTTGTTATGAGTATTGGTTCATAAATCCTAAAACATACTAACTTCATACTTCCATTTTTACCAGTAAAAAATAACTCACCTTCATTGATGAAAGTTACTGGTGGGACCTTGAAAGGGCTCTTTGTGGGAACTGTTGCCAGGTCAGGTGGTGGCATTATGTCTCTAGGATAACCTGGATCCCTCTGAATCTCATTGCCTCCTAGTAGACCAGGAGTGTACTGGTGACTGTTAGGAATATGTTGTGGCACCACCTGGACAAGAGGAGGAGACACGTGGGTGTCTTGCCTGGAAAATATCCTCAAGCACTGCTCTTCCAACAAAGTGATCATCACAGACTGGTTATTGACAAGATCAGTCAAGGAAGCATATTTCACCTCCAGTTCCCTGTACCTTGTTGCCATCTTCAGCATTTCTGTGGTGACATTGAGGATTTTGTTTTCCAGCTGGGAAAGTTCAAGTGAATTATCTCTCTTACGGATAATCTCATGCAGCAGTTGCATATAGAGTTGAGTAACACGAGAGTTCATATTACGGCTTTCTTTTCTCAGCAGCTTCACCTCATTTACAATGTTTCCATCTACATCCACCACCAACTGTAGGACATCTATCTCTCGCTTCTGCCTGGAGAGGACATCCTTCAAGTTTTCAAGGTCCATCCTGGTGATCATGTCTTTAATGGTACCTGCATCTTGACCTTTGGTGTTGACACAGATTGGCCCTGTTATTTTTTGTTCAGGAACCAGGAATGTGTATGAACATTTCTTTGCTTCCTCTTTACCATCTGTAGCACGAGGATATCTCCTCTGGGTTGTTTTTATTCTGAACTGTCCTCCTTTGCACTTACCAGTGCCCATTAGTAGGAAGAGTAGCACACCCAGGGTCCACATAAAAGCCTTCATTTTGAAATGAGCTATACCACGACGTCTGTAGGAAAATAAGTGATTGGCAAGAAAATTAAATTGTTAATTTACATGCACACCAACACTGCATTGAGATTCCACTTTATCCCTGTTACAGTGGCTATCATTGAAAACACAAATGCCAGTGAGGATGTGGGTGACTGCAGCTTTTAAACACTGTTAGTGAAAATGTAAACTAATGCGACCACTATGGAAGTTCCTCAATAAACTAGAAGTAGAACTGCCAGACAATTGAGCTGTAGCACTCCTGGAAATATGTGTGAAGGACAAGTTACAGAATCAGCCTAGGTGTCCACCGAAAGACAAATGGATGAAGAAAATTTGGGAGATAGATATATATGCATACACATATACACATACATATATAATGGACTTGTATTCAACCATAAGTACCAAAATTAAGTCATTTGCTGAAAAATGAATGGAATTTGAGATCATCAAAATAAACCAGATCCAACAAGGCAAATCCCACATATTTTCTCTCTTATGTGGAACCTGTTTTTTTTTTTAACTTTAAAAAAAATTTATTATTTTTGTTTTTTTTATGTGTATGCATGTATTGCCTGCACGTAGGTAAGTGCACCCATGTAGTGCAATGCCCGCGGAGGTCAGAAGAGGCTGTTGGATCCCCTGGGACTGGAGCTATGGATAGTTGTTAGCTGCTATGTGGGTGCTGGGATTCGAACCCGGGTCTTCTGCAAGAACAACCAGTGTTCTTAACCACTGAGCCATTGCTCCAGCCCTGGAACCTATGTTTTATGCATACAACACATACACAATGTTCACACATGTGTAACATGACATGAAAATAGAGGATAAGAGACAGGAGAGGATAATGAGGCAAGAGGATAATGAGGCATGAATATGATCAAAATATATGAACAAAAATGTCCTTACAAAACCCATCACTTTGTGCAGTGAATATACACTAATAATCTTTTAGACTAGTAGTATGAAAACATCCAAGACGCCATGCAAGTTGGTGCATGCCTTTAATCCCAGCATGTGGGAGGCAGAGGCAGGTGGATTTCTATATGAGTTCAAGGCCAACGTGGTCTACGTAGCGAGTTCCAGGCAAGCTGGAGCTACCGGGAGACTCTCAAGAAACATTTTAGACAAGTGAAAATTAGTTTTATAGCATCCGCTTTTAGGATTGGAGATAGAATGCTCACAGTCATTATTGTGGGTAATTGTGTTACCTTAATTACAGTCATATATTTGCTCTGAGTTTATAGGTGGTTTATCAGGTTGAGCCTATTAACAAGAAAATGTAGTGAATTGAATTTTAGTAAAATGTTCATAATTTTCAACAAGCATTACCAAGGAAAGAAACTATAAATTGAATATAAAGGGTATTTTTGTACCTATGTGTGTGTTGAAGGCCAAAACCACACTAATATTAGAAGCAGATCTAGAACTTGGGTTCCCTGACCCTCAGTATTTATAGCAGCAAATACCTGAATGTGTCCTTGGAATGTTTTATATTCACTGTGACAAATGCAAAGTACGTGTTCTTTATAGTCCAATTCTTTTGCGGAAACATTAAACTATTTCCAAGAGCAAAGATTTCTTTTTCTCTTTAGTTACTTCCCAAGAGTAGTGGTAACAAGTGGTGAAGGAGTGAGGAAAGTGTGTTCATTTTCATTAGCAACTTTGCCATCCTTAGAAGCTTGATTCTAGCTGCTGTCTTTAAAAGCTGGTAGTGGATATCTTCATAGCTTTTCTTATCTACTTTCTGAGTCCTTGTTTCTTAATTTCAGAAGTCAGATCCCAAGTTGTTTATGCAACACAACAGGAACACTACTTAGTATCCATTGGATGTTTTTAAGGTCCACCGTTATTTTAAGACCTTTTGTATATTAAATTATTTTTCCACAACCCAATGAGATGGGTGATTCTGACCTCCATTTTCTCATGAGATTGGCACCCCAAAGTACCTTATCAACAGTCACATAGCTATCAAAAGATAAAACCAGAATTCGAACCTAGGCAGAAGACTTCAGAATTCATTCTTTTCATTAACCATTATATCATATGGCTCTGCATTCCAAACTACTTTGTCAAAAGCACTATGGCAACCTTCTGTATTTATGAGTATTTAACACATACTATTTGCATTTATGATAACACTGTGACGTAAATGCAGTATCATTTTACAAAGGAAAAGTTCCAGAGAAACTAAAACATTCAAATGGGATTCAAATATTGTATGCTCTGCCTACCTTTTCTAGACGACTTTTATCCTATCGTACCATAACAGAGGAAGTCTTGGTGTATGATTGTGGTCTTTGGTAGTCTTTTCCTGGCTTGTAGTTCTTTTCACTGGCCTGTTCATTTATAATACAGAAGCACTTGCTGGTCATTTTTATTGGAATTTATTTTCACCTTTTTTTATACCCTTCCTTGCTGTCATTCCTTTCTGTCCATATGTATTCTATCGGTTGGTGTTTATGCAATCTAAATTATGACTGCACACATGCACAGTCATCTATCAGTGAAGCATAGACTATTGTGAAAACTGCTGCTGCCTGCACACATTAAAAGCATGTCTCATTGTTTTCAGTGTTTTCGATTGAGTAGTGGGTTCAAAGCAGAGATAATGAAAATAAGTGAATAATAGGAGGCGCGTGGAAAATTATTTTTCTTTCACTAACTTAAGATAGGGAGGATGAATGTAACATTTAACATCAAAGCCTTCTGTTGCTGATAGCCAAAAACACATGAATGAGTACTTTAGCTTCTTAAGGTTTGTACCTTGCCTTTGGGCACTGTAGAAAATTAGAAAAAAAAAAGAGCTATTTGTTTTTTTAAAGAATATCTTTAACTTTTCAAGAGTTACCCTACATCAAAACCTGAAATTAGATTTTTTTTCTGTTACATGTACAGGAAATTCTTGGAATTTAGATATGGTTTAATTTTTTTAAAACTGAGAACAGTAAAAATAAAATATATGCCATCAGCCTCTGGGAAAGAATATATATCATTTTTCCTAAATCTCTTTGTTTCATTTTAATAATAGGACAGAAACTCTTGACTCCAAATTATTTGAATACTTTCTACAATGAAAGAAGCTACCAGGATAAGAAAAATCAGGAAGTATCATGAAATTTCAAAGCGAGTAGAATATGTAAATAATAATCTTGATTGGACAGCTTGTATTAATACTAGACACGGGTTTTGTACAACTAAAAACTACTCTCCAAGACTTTGTATCAGTGTTGTTAATTGAGGGCAAAAAACATCAAAATGATAATCTATATTAAAGTTAAAAACAGCTTTTTGTCAGTTCTACCTTGGGTCAGTGTGGTTACCAGAAAATTAATCAGAACACTTAAGTTAATATTTAAAAGTTGGCAACTAAAAATTACGTTTTGTTTGTGAGTGTGTGTGTTTTAATAAGTTTCCTCATTCTTATAACAGCAAGGATTTCATTGTTCCCTAAAGCAGAGTAAGGAGACACATTTCTTAAGTAGTAGACTACCTACGTCATAAGTAAAGAACTGGTTTAAAAATACATTTACTATTACATTTTCTAAAAATATGCTCTTATTTAATGTTTTCCCACATATGTTCAGTTTTAAAAGTGAAAGATCCATAAATCTGCGTTACCTCATAAAACCTTTCTGTGTATGTTAAAATTTCCTAGGTCCCAAGAGAACGTTATAAATTAGTTAAAGCATACTTGAGCAAAAGACTGTGTCTTTGCTTGGTTGTTTTTAGAAAAGAAAAAATATCTGTGCATTTAGATTAATTTTGTTAGTACTGTTTTTTTCAGAATTGCTACATTGCCAACTGTTAGAGGAAATAGCAGCTACGTTTACTTCCTTTCATATGGTAGACTCAGAAAGGCATTCAGTCGACTGCGTCCTGTACTGAAAGCAGTAGAGGCACATAGGTTAAAATGAGATATACACTGAGGATAGATTAGATGAAGAACTCCTTGATTGTGAAATATGTTTGAGGAATTGATTTGAGAACAAATTCATCTTCTGGACATATCCCAGGAAGAGATCAATCATTATCTGTGATTTGGATTTTAGATTAGATGCTTGCCTAAGGCCTCAGAAGACCCAACATTTAATGAGGTCTTGCAGTTATCATAGCAAGCAACAACAGAGATGGCAGTATTTTAAATCCAGTGTTGCTTAGAAATTCTATAAGAATCTGATAGGAAATATGTGTTTAACAGAGATCTCAGAATTGAGTATTTTAATCTTTAAGCAAAGGAAATGAAAGCAAAGTTGAAAAGTAATCTCAGCATTACTATTTGTTTGTTGAAAATTCTTACCACTAAAAATTAAAGGTCATGTATCATAACAAACTTAGGTGTCTTTGATGTTAAAGCTTACTATTGATAAGTAGCAATTTCATTTTTAGTAATTCTCATGATTAACATAATCCCTCCGCTAGAATGTTGAAGAGCACCTCTTATGTATGGTTACCAAAATTATTTTTAACACATATTTCTGGATTTTCAATCATTTTTTTAGTAATTACATCTTCTGAGTTCATATTATTAATACTGACAATTTCCTACTACTTCTCCTCAGTCCTAATCTTAAAAAAAGGTTAAGATTTTTTTATTTGTATCAATAACTGCTTTTCCAAATAATTCCACTTAGAGTAGTTTTAATTTGTTACCAGAATTAAATTACTATTATTAGCAAGTTTTAAAACTATTTTAAATGTTTATTCATATTAAGAATAGATTTAACTTAAATTTTCCCAAGAATTTTACTTAAAATTTTGGTTATAATTGATTTTGTTTCAAAATTTTAGTTATTTCTTCTTAGCTTGTTTTATAGTCATACTTTGAGAAATTCAATAGTTTATGCCTATCTTTAGCATATGTACTGTACTTAGTTAAGAAGACTAACTCATGTTGACAGCTATTTTCTTTACATCCTTTGTTATTGATTCTTGTGCTATATATTTAATTGGTTACTTTTAAAAAAAAATTTTTTTTCTTTTGCGAAAGCATTTGTTTTCAGAAGCCCAGCATGTATGTATCAGCCTGTAATCATATACTAGCTCTAACCTCAACTACTACATTAACCATCATAAAGTACTTAATGACAGGTTTTTACATAAAGATACAATACATTATAGTATATTCCAAAGTTCTTTACTAGATCTTGAAATTTTTAGTACAAATGTAAGATTATGCATTTGTCATAGAATTTTGAATAAACATAAAAGAAATATCAAAATACCTTATTGTGTCTGTTGAAAAATGAATCCAGAAACTTGCTGTCCTTATTCTTGATCTTTAAAAAATCTGTAGAAATTTGTTCATCTTTGACTTTAATGGCAACTGCATTTTTCTTTTTTGGACTGTTGAATCCAAGGAACTTTTTACAGTACTAATGGATTGGGTTTGACAGCCTACCTATTGGAATTTTAGGCTGTCTGTGGGCTTTCTCTAATCCAGCAGAGAACGCATTGTGTCTGTGCTGTCTGTAACATGGAGAAGTGCAGTAACCAGCTGCAGCTGACAAACTGTCCACACAGTACTCGGGGAGAGAAGAGTGATTCCCTCTCTTCCGTAGACTCAAGTTCAGCCCACATACTACGTCATCAGAAAACTGCTGGAGTCTGGGGATGGGGGTGGAAATCTCCTCCTTAGGATTTCCTTTCTGTAGCCTTAAATGGGGAGGGGAACGGGATCAGCAGGAGGTTGAATAGCTCTGAACAAGGAGAGATTGTGTGCAGATTGAAGGAAGGGCACCATCTGGAAACAGACTATCATAGTTCAGCAAGCAATTATAAAACAAACATCTTAGTCTGCTGGCCAGAGAGCTTTAAAATTGAAAAAATAGTATTCCACTTTAGGAGTTGCAAGCTGATGAGGTTTTGATGCACAGAACAAGAGCTAGACTGTCTCAGGAAGCAGCCACCTAAATGATACAATTCTTTATAGCCTAGAAAATCTTTTAAGCATTTTACTTCCCAAGTTGCTGTTTCGGATGGTTTTAAACATATAAGAAACTGGTAACGTTGTGTAATGTTTCCTAAGATAAAACTGCTTTCATATATAAGCACCAAAAACAAGTGAAATCCTTTGAGAAATCTAGTGCTTTTTAATCTTAAATTCTGTGTTAGATAATCTCACAAAGTGATATCTTTTGTAGAAATAAGGTTATTGTTATTAGTTGATTATTGTCATTTAAAAACACTCCTGAATTTGAATGGAAAACAAGAGAACTCTGACTCCCCATTGACTGTGTGAACTTAAACAAATCTTCACCTCCTCTGGCCCAGCTCCTGCTATGAAAATAGGATACTTGAGAGGGAATAAGTGTAGAATGGCAACTATACTGTTATATTTCAGTAAATAAATATTAGGTAGTTCAGTAGTTCAGGAAGCCTAAATTTGGGCATCTTCAGTAAAATGATTAAGTGGTGCATCTGGGATTTGAACTTGATCCCAAAGCATTATGCCACACTCTCCTTAGATTACCTAGATGTCAAATACTGCATCTGCATAAGACTTTAGGACTACTGTGTCTGTATATATCACATGCTACACAGCTATACATACACATACATATACACACACACAGCTTTAACTTGTTCTGGTTTTCTCATAGTTCCTATAAATCTGCATCCTTTTTTAAAGTCTAAGCTTAATTGTTACCTTTTTCATAGAATTATTTCTTAAAATTTTTATGTCATATGTAGGTATAAAGGGTTGCAAGCTCAGGACCCTAGAAGATCCAATGAATGAAGCAGATTATATGTTATAAAAATAAATAAATAAATAAAATAACAGGAAAAAAAGATACAGGAAACTGGCATCCTTAGGGTTAATTTAAAGGGATCTGCTCTATGTCAGCAGTATCTCATTGTGGCCATGAAGGATTATCAGACAGTATTGTTGCCATCTCTGGCTTATGTTACATAATCATTCAGTGATAATGTTTTTATTCCTTACAGTATAATGTGGATAAAATGTAGACTAGTAAGTTCCTTCTGAATCTCTTGGAGAAATTTTAAACTTGCTAACATGAGCAATTACTACTATTAACTAACATAGGAAATTCTTTGCATAGAAAACTGGAATGGCAGAATGTAGGAACCAATAATACTCTATTTGGCTTGTTAAATTGAAAATGAAAGCTAGGAGATTAGTTCTATGCAAATACCTAAAAAGTTATCAGCAATAGGTGGTGGCTGAAGCTCCAGAACTAAGAAAATACAGAGAAAGTCCACGTAGAATGAGAAGCTGTAATGATGGACTTCAAAGAATACCAGCTTTCAGGAAACCTCAAGAAGAAGGAGGATGAAAAGATAGAGTTGGCAAAGTTCAAACTAGGAAAAGCCAAGAAGGATGGTGCAATTAAAATGCTGCAGAGAGGATGGGGGTTTTGCTCCTTGGTAGAGCACTTGCCAGCATGTACAGGGCCCCTGGTCCAACTCCCAGCACTGCAAAAATAAATAGTAATGTAAGTAAGCAAACAGCTACAGAGAGATTAGGTAGTAGGTAAAGGCTGGAAGATGTTTAAAGATTTATAATGACAAGATCATGAGTTGTGATGTTGGCCAAAAATAATTTTCAGTATCATGGTAAAGAGTTGAGAGTATTTGATAGATTTGAATTGTGGTTGGATAAGGTATAGCACATGGGTTAGTATCAAAAATATGTTTAAGTTAAAGGTAATTTTAAAAGATAAATTTTGGCCAGTCAGATGGTTCATCAGATAAAGGCACTCTTCACCAAGCCTGATGACCTGAGTTTGATCTCCAAGAACCACATGGTGGACCTAAGAGAACCTATTCTTAAAACTTGTTCTCTGACCTTCACATGTGCACTGTGGCACATGCACACCCACACAAATAATAAATAAATGGGAAAAGATAAATTTTTCATTTTTTTCCACACAAAGTCATTTTTAATTTAAATACTTTAATATGTAAAGGAATCAGGAAGATATAACCATTTCAAGAGACAATTCAAAGTCATACATATCTAGCTACAGAGTACTGAAATGAATCTACAAATAATTGCAAAATTGGCTGACAATAACTAATTATTGGTGATAATTAGTTACATCTCGCTACACAAAATTCATTGGCATTGCTATAGCCAAGAATTTGTAGTATTCCCAGTCTTCAACTTAAGAGTATAAAATAGCTTACAATTTATCAAGAGTATTCACTAGAGACAGAATACATACAGTAGTTCTATCTTGCCTATTTCAACGTTTTTCAGAATTTTCCCTGACCATATAAGCTGTCACGTGCATCAAATATTATGTCAAAAATAGAATAAAAGATAAGAGAACTATTCTGTGTTCCTTTTTTGAGATGTTCTTTTCAGGGACTTTATTGAACAGATGTAACAAGAAGCTTTTCTAAGGAAAAGGTCAGATTTAAAGGAAAGATTGCTTTGATTTTAAGTAGGGTGAGAATTGAAAGCATATAGTGGCCCTGAGGCAGGAGTCAGTGAGAGTGAGTGATAGAAAAGGCAAAGTAGGTATTTGGAAGGAAGCAGTAGCAATTCCACTAAAAATCATAGTTTGGATTTGGAAAGGAGAGAGACGAATTTTCTTTTGAGATTGAAAGCAGGAAAAACCTAGGCTGTATAGATTCATTATAAATATAGGTGGGAGGTGTTTAGGGTAAGTAGCTTGAAGAATATTAAAAATGCCAAATTGAGATGGGGGGAGAAGAAAGGGGGACGGAAAGGGATGGGAGAGATTTTAAAGATTTATCCATGGAAAATAAATAACAATAGGATGAGTAAAAGGATTTTATGTTGTATTAAGACCACCTGTTGTCTAAACATACAGGATTTTCTTAGAGTGCAACGTGGAGGAACTGCTTAAATGAATTCATAGACCGAAATAAATGAGATATGAGAATATTCAAACAAAGCAATTATGAAATCATGAATGGTATAAATAACACCAGCTTATTGTAGTATATAGTCTGTTAAAGACCCAGAGGTTACAAGGGCAGCCACTGAGATCTACCTCTGTCTCTTACCAGTTACATGGTATTGGACACATTTTTTATGTATCTGCAGATTTCAGGTTCTTCTCTATGAAAACATACTAGAGAATTTTAAATTTCTTTCTTGGAGTTTATATGGAAACTAGAGTATAGTTGACATTGCTCTAAACATAAAAGGTAAAGGATCTGAATGAATTGAGATATGTCTAGAAAATAAGTGGGAGAAAGTGGCAGACAGAAAAACCAGGTACTTTTTCAGAAAGCAGAAAGCATATCATTTTGGATGCGTTTATCCTTAAGGTTCATAAAAGTGGAATAATAAGGCAAAACTGGAAAAATAGGCTTTTTTCTCTCTAAGTTTTTTCTTTTACATTTTGCATGTGCATGTTAAATACTCAGGAAATACTTTTAAAGAAGTAACTTTCCTTGTTCAGGACCAGTTCAACCAATTTTGAGAGATGTGCCATTTTTATTAGTTGGAAAGAACATGAAATGATTGGGAGGTTAATCTGTTTGTAGTTATGTAAATGTTTTCAGAAGCCCAGTT